TCAGGATCCTGAGGAAAGGAAGGATGGAGAGCAGCAGACCAAGGACCCAGGCCTTCAGAAAAGCAGAGTTTGACTTGCTTAAAGAACTCATGGGTAAGTTCCCTTGGGAAGCTAGTCTGATGGGGAGAGGAATCCAGGAGAGCTGGCTATACTTTAAAGAAGCCTTACTGACAGTGCAGGAATAAACCATCCCAATCCACAAGATACTAGTAAGTACAGCAGAAGACCAGCTTGGCTTAGCAGGGAACTCTTCAGTAATCTAAGTCACAAAAAGGAAGCTTATAAGAAGTGGAAACTTGGACAAATTACTAGGGAGGAGTATAAGAGCATTGCTCAGGTATGCAGGGTTGAAGTCAGGAAGGCCAAAGTGCAAATGGAGTTGCAGTTAGCAAGAGCCGTGAAGGGTAACAAGAAGGGTTTCTACAAGTATGTCAGTAGCAAGAGGAGAATCAGTGAAAGTGTGGGTCCCTTACTGAATGGGGGAGGTAACCTCATGACAGAGGATGCAGAAAAGGCTGAAGTGCTCAGTGCCTTCTTCCCCTCACTATTCACAGGCAAGGTCAGCTCCCAAACTGCAGTACCAGGCAGCACAGTTTGGGGAGGAGGTGAATAGCCAACAGTGGCAAAACAACAGGTTAGGGACTATTTAGAAAAGCCAGACATATACAAGTCCAAGGGGCCAGACAGGATGCACCCAAGGGTGCTGAGGGAGTTGGCTGATAGAAAGAGGATAGAAAACTGGCTGGAGCATCAGGCTTAAAGGGCTTGATGTCCAGTTGGCAGCCGGTATCAAGTGGAGTACCCCATTGATCAGTCCTGGGGCCAGTTTTGGCCAATGTCTTCATCAACGACCTGAAATATGGAATAGAGTCCCACCCCCCAGCAAGTCTGCAGATGATTCAGAGTGATGTAGACAAATTGGAGGATTGGACCAAAAGAAATCTCATGAGGTTCTACAAGGAGAAGTGCAAAGTCCTGAATTTAGGACAGAACAATCCTATACATAAGTACAGGCTTGGTGATGACTGGCTGGGCAGCAGCTCTGCAGAAAAGACCTGGAGTTAGAGTGGACAATAAGCTAAATATGAGCTAACAATGTGCCCTCATTGCAAAGAAGGCTAGTGCCATACTGAGATGCATCGGTAGGAGTGTTGCCAGTAGGTCAACACAAAAGTACACACCGGACACATCTACACATGTACTTTACTGTGGATTTGACTATTTAGCTCCCCAGTAAAGCATCACCATCTACATGTGCAGCCATATTAGACCTCAATAAACTAATTAACTCCAATGTAAGTCTGACACAAGTACTATCCTACAGTGGAGTTTAGTGCACCGCAGCACATGTGTAGACCATGACCAGGGCTGGCTGGGGCATGAGGGTACTACAGTGCAGAGGCTGCCTGCCAGCTAGTCCTACACTGTAGCACCCTCATGCCCCAGCCCACCCCTCTGCAGTACATTGAGCTGGGGCAGAGCAGCTCCAGGCTGGCGGGCTGACCTCTCGGGGCCCCTGCCAGCTGGGGCTGCTCCACTCCAGCAAAATGTGCTGCAGTCTTGGGTGCATGCATAAACACTGTGCCTAGAAGCAATAAAGCCCAGCATGAAATGTGTCAGAATTTATTCAGGCACACTAATTTTATGAATAGGTGTACCATTGCCAGGGCTGCTTGAGCATTCTGGGAATATTAACAAATGGTGGGCTAAGGGTATGAAGTTAACATGTTGGCTGAAAGAGCTTTAATACCAGTTTCAACTGTAGTCTAAGCAGGACTGGAGCAAACAATAAGTTTATCTGAAGTTAAAGTTTAAAATTAATTCTAGGAAAAATATTAGAGTCAGTAAGAGGTGCAGTGTACAAAATGACTTGATAGTCACTTTAACTACTGTTGTCACACTTCTTACCCTAGCAGCTCCATTTTTAGCCACAAATTTCTTAAGCCGTGTTGTAATTTAGCACCCCTAAGGTGTATCATTGCTTAATCTTTAACTTGCTCTGATGCTTGCTGCCAAATGCTTTTGCCATTATGACTTCATGTGTGTAAAACACTTCTGAGCTAAAGTGAGGTGAGCAATTTTCCCTTTAGATCCAAGCATCTGGGAGGAGAGCAATTTTTTTTGCTTGTGGGAACGTACTCTTTGAAACTGAAGCATTTAATGAAAATGACATTTGGAAATGACCCAAATGATTGATTACTGGAAATTAGCAAATTGGCACTACTTTTTTCTTTGAAACACCTAACAAGCTAGATCAACTGAACAATGTCAGAAGTTTTGGCACAGTTTGACTTACTTTTATGCTGAATTCTTCCACATCTTGCTTCCAGTTAGCTGGAAACATAGGACACGATAAACTGGGCTTCTTGCTTGAGGTGAATGTAACTGAAGTTCTGGAGGAAGGCAGGGCAGGGTGACACCTTCTGATCCTCACTTGTTTAGAGAAATTCTGGAGAGTTAGGAAATTCTCTAATATTCACTCTCTGGCAGTGTTTGAAATCTAAGCATGGATAGCAAGCCAAATTCAGTCTATGTTTAAATTTGGCTCAACAAAAACACCACATCTGTACACCTGCACAAGTAAGGATATACAAAATCTATGTGTTTGTGTTGGCAAAGCACACAAATGCATTACTTACAAACACTTCTAAAAATCTGGACCATCTCCTAAGATAACTGTTGGATTATAGTTACTGCATCAAATTGTCAAACATGATTAAAAAAATTACTTACAAAACTTGAATGCACGTGAAGCCCCTCACCTTAGGGACAGAAGTTACACATAGACTGATTTAAGTGATCAGAAACTAGTTTAAACCTTTAACAGAACATATGTTCAGTGCACGTAAATCAGTTTAAAAATGGCTGAAACTGTCTTAAGATAAACCTGGTTGAATGTAGTATCAGACTTAGCTGACTTGGGTCAAACCGGTTTATGCAACTTGTGTCCCAGACCCCTTCCTGGATTAAGCTAAAATCAGAATCCAACAGCATCCCAGATGCTTTGCAGCCTTGGGCATGGCTGTGCTCTCTGCTCCAGACAGCAGGGTTGGTCCCATCCCTCTGATCTCTAGCCTGAGCAGGGACGGGGGTGTGGCCAGACACATGGTCCCCTGATGCAAAGGAGGGCAGGGACAAGGTTTATTCTCCCACCCCTTACTGGAGGGCAGCAGCCCCATCAGCCATTCCCCCCCTCCCCGCTTCAGCGGCAGGAGAGGGAGCACAGCCAGAGCTGGCTGGCATGGCCCCCACCTAGGGCAGCCATCATAGAAGACATTCTGGTTTTCTGCTACTCTGTTCTCTATCCCCTATTGATACAAAACCTGATGCCTTTACGTCCTCTATTTTTCTCTTCAAGATAAAAATAGAGGACATAAAGGCATCCAGTTTTGTATCAATAGAGGACAGAGGACAACCAGACTGTCCTCTATACGGCTACCTTACCCCCACCATACACCTGCCTTGCCAGCGGCTGGGGCTTCAGGGCTGAGGTCAACTGGCCTGTGAGTGCTGCTGAGACCAGAGGCAGAGGGGCCATCCAAGGTTGGGACACTGGGGCTGGGCCCTTCCCAGCAGGCTGCAGCTTGGGTTGGAGCTGTGCAGCTCCCCATGCCCAAGCTGGGCTGGGCTGTCATAGAGCCCAAGCAGGCTGAGAAGGGCCCTGAGGGGCTGGCCCTGGGGACAGAGCTTTTTCCATCCCACTGGGGCTCCATAACAGCTCGGCCTGGCAGCACAGGTGGGGGCTGACTGGGGAGTGGACTTCCCAGGCCAGCTCGGAGGCACTGGTGGGCCCCAAGCCTAGCAGCCACTGCCACATCTGGGGCTGCAGGGGCACAGCCAGCTGTGGGCTGCTCAGGTCTAGGGGGGCTGTTCTGCTCCTTTGCCTCTAGCTGCTGCTCCCATGGTCATGCCATGCCACTCTTGGTGGCGGTGACAAGAAGCTTCAGCCCCCTGGCTTCTGCCCCACACATGGAGCTCTAGCTCCAACCCTCAGATGCTTTCCACCCAGATGCCTTCTGCCTTCCAAGACATCCAGGTGGAAGGCATCCAGGGGCTGTAGCCAGAGATCCACACACGGGGCAGAAATTGCTGGGCCTAGCAGAGCTGTTTTTCTCCCCTCACCTGCAACCACAGCTCCTGTCCTGCTGTACCACACAGTGTTGCTCAGGGCAGGGGGAGTTTCTGTCAGCTCAGCTGCTCCAGCTCAGCAAAGTTTGAAGCCATTGGGCTAAAGGAATCTCCCCCCATCCCAAGCAGAACTGCACAGCAGGTGCAGGAGCTGCAGGTGAAGGGAGAAAAACAGCCCTGCTGGGCCCTGTGGCTTCTGCCAGGCCCGCCAGCTTCTTACCCATGTGTGGAGTTCTGAATGCAACTTCCTTCCACTTGGACGCTTTGGAAGGTGGAAGGCATCTGGGGGATGGAGCTGGAGCTCCACACACAGAGCAGAAGCTGCGGGGATGAAGCTTCCCACCTCCCCTACCCTCCCATTCCCCACCCAGAGTGGTGTGGCAGAGTGCAGCAGCAACAGTGGCAGCAGCAGGTGAAGGGGACAGAACAGCCCCGTGGGCCCTGACCAGCCCACAGCTGGCTGTGCACCTGCAGCCTCAGGTTCTGCACAGCACAGGGGGCATGGTGATGCCTCTGAGCTGGCTCAGGAAGTCAGCTCCCCAGCCAGCCACCACCCATGCTGCCAGGCCAGGCTGTCACACAGCCCCAATAGGTTGGGAAGGGTCCTGCCCTGAGGGCCAACCCCACAGGACCCTACCCAGCTGGCTTGGGTGCAGGGAGCCAGAAGCATTCTGGCCACACAGCCCCCATGACCCCAACCCAAGCTGCCCCTCTGTCTCTGGCCTTAGCAACACTCCAGGGCAGGCTGGGCTCAGCTCCACAGCCCCAGCTGCAGCTTCAGCTTCAGCCCTGGGTGGACAGCAGGGCCATGCTGGTGGCTCTGGTCAGGCCCCCACCAGCCAAGCAAGAGCTGGGGGAAAATCTGGACAGAACCCGACTGGGGTCTGCTGCTTGGAGTCAGGTGAGTTTAATCCCCACCCCTTGCCCTCCTTTGCTTGAGGCACTGCCCTGCTGGTGTGTGGCCTTGGGGACAAGCCTGGTAATGGCCGCTTCCCTCCTATCCCTCCAGCCTAGATGAGGTCTTTACAGGCCAGGGTGGGGGTTGAAACCCCTCCACAATCATACTTAGCCCCTGTGGGGGGTCTGCCATGCCCCCAGGTCAGCTTCCCTCTAGCCTTGTGACTGTTGAAAGGGGAAGGGAGGGCTGCTCCAGCACCCCCCCCCCAGCCCCTGGTTTCTAGTCCGAGCCACTGCAGGCACGTGCCTGCATTTCCAGAATTAAATATGAATGTTTGTGCACTCGCAAGTCAGTTCAATCTTTGCAGGTTAGACTAACCTGCAAAGATTAAATCAATTCAGGCTCCAGCTTTGTGAATATCTGCCCCTAGCCCTATTGCATGTGTTAATTCAGACAAACAGATGTTTATGTTTATGTTTATGTACAGTTTATGTTTTGTGGGTGCATCTTTGGAGGCCTTTTGGAACTTTGTATGATATACATGGCTTACTTAGCAGACATCATTAAACAGAAAGTTCTAAACAGTATTCATATAAAGCATAACAACAAACACATTTGTCAATCTGTCTGTCTCTTATTTATTTGTATTCTTGGTTGCTCTGGCAGCAATGGAATGGAAGGGACACTGCCTTAATGGTCACCAGGGTGGTCAACCACAGACGGTTTTCGGCTACAGTCAGCGTAGCGGACACTTCTCAGCGTAGCATCAGTAAATACCGGTGCGTGATTCGCTCAGATGGTGGCTCTGGAGTTTCAAATTATGCAGAACTAATAGTGAAAGGTAAGTAGCATTAAATAAAAAAATACCTGTTGGATATTGTGTGCATGTAACAGTAGTTCAAGTGGAAATGCATATATAACTTTGTCCAGTGTGGTTTATGAATTTCTCAAGGCCCAGTTATTTTTCAAATTGTGTGGAATTTGGATAGGGTAGGTAAGGGTGGATTTTTTTACAGAATGAAAAACAGATTTTATATTTGATTTTAATGACACATGGAATGAATTGGGAAAAGAGGGTTTCCTTAGATCTCCAGATTCCTAGCTGCACATGAGAGGCACTCCTGGCAGCTCATGACAGGAGCATTAAAAGATGGCTTTACGTCACCTTTGTACTTTCCTGATCATAGGTCACTATGCATTGGTCTGGCCATGTGCACAACTCACAGGAGTCTCTGAGTTACTCTGAGGGGCTAGGCTAAGGGATAAGTCTCAACTTGTTTTATCTCTGAGCTAAATGGTGGCTAGCTGGAGGCTTTGTGTAAAATTGAATGTGTAAGTACAATTACTGATTTGTAGAGGGTATTATCTATAATCTGATCAAGACTATTCTACCTGTCAGGTTTGAGTTTTGTGGAACTACAGTCCCCCTCTGGAAAACCATGTGGATTGATGTGTATTAAAGGGCTGTAGGGCTGAATTTGTTTATCTGGGATTTTATAATATACATTCCCATGCATTTATACATGCCACTGTTCAGGGAGGAAGCACAGCAAAGATTCCTGTATGGCTTTAGCCTTTGGCTATGTGGTTGGAAGTGATCACCAGGTAAGAAGGCAGGGCAGCCCTGAATTCCAATCTTGCTGCCTCTGTTGCTTACTTTGGGTGCATATACACATGAAAGGAGGCTGCTCTGATGTGCTGTAATTACAGCATGTCGGAGCAGACTTGATTGAGTCTGCTGGAGTGTGGTAATTACTGTGCTCCAGCAGACGCCAGCATAATGTGTGTCAGCATCCCTGCACTAAAAAATGGCAGCGGTGCTTTAACTAAAGCTTGTTTGACAAGCTTCAGTTAAAGCACCACTGCTGCCATTTTTCAGTGTGGGGACGCTGATACATGTGATGCTCTGGGTGCTCTTGGAGCCACTCTAATTAAAGTACTGCCCCCCTGAGCACATCTATAAGCACCCTTTGGTTTTTGAAGGAGTCATTATACCTTTCTTAGTTTTATCATATATAAAATGCAGGTAAGTGGTTATGAATACTTTCCAGCATTGCTAATCAACTCATTAAGGCCTAAACAGTACTTTAAAAACCAAGTGCTGTGTATTATGATGTCCCTTCAGACTACAGCTGATGAAAAGACTGATTGTGTAAAGTCCTGAGTGCTTTTAATTTCCATTAAGGGCATCTGCACCTTTTGGGATCTAACCTGAAGTGAACAAAATAAATAAGAACTCATGATTGAAATGAACCCAGGGATGCATGTGAGCATTTTGAGAGATGTGTTGTGTTTAAATGGAAGGAAGGCAATCAGCAAAAGGAAATAAATATCAGACGGTGCAAACCTTGGTTAAGAATGTGCCTGACTGTCTCCCCCTCAGACATGTTAGCAGGTAAGATGGAAAGAAGAGCAAGTTATAAATATCAATAGATAGCCTTCCAACACAAGAGACATTGATTCATTTTTGGAGTGTACAGGCAGACTGCTAGACAGAGACAATTATGGATGGCAGGACAAATAGAGAAAGATAATTAAGGGCAGAATGTATAACTTTTCCATGTCTTGCTCCTTCTTTCCAAGCAGGTAAATTTCAGTGGCTGATTTGAGGTTAGTCCTATGCAGCACTGATGTCACAATGGGATTGCATGAATCAATGCTTCTGAAAGCATCTGACTAATTTAGGCATGAGTAATAACAAATTCTCACAGCGTGCACACAGGCTGAAATGAAAGTAAATTGGAATTGTTTAATTCTAAAGAGATGTTTATTGAATTGCAATAATGTACTTAGGTATACATTAAATTAGGTTGTAACTGAAGTCTCGCGCAATTGACAATCTTGTCCCTAAATCCACTAGATCTAAGATAAAGGCCTGCTTCATGTGTTCTCTCCCCCATTCACTTGAGCACACAGTTATCTGGTGGGGTTTCAACAAAGAACAAGGGTTTGAAGTATGTTCTTTTCCCTCTGCTAGAGCACTTTTTATCTCCCTAATATTACATTTATAGAAGATGTATCTTGGGATAAGAAAGAGCAACTTGTGTTTTGAAGCAACACACAAATATAATCTAATAAATCCAGAGGATAGATTCTGTTTTTGCATGCACTTGCTACTCGCAGTGACTTCATTTCGAATGACATGTGCTTGTCTAGGGGAGTAAGCTGGACAATAAAATGAAACAAGACATACTCCACCTTTGCCTGCTTCTGTAAATCATGCAGTCCTAGGTATCTAACAAAATTAGAACAGCAGTAAAATTGTAATCCTTAGTAGTGATCTTATGGATAGATCATTATTTTGTTTTTTTATTATTTTGTCAATATATTTGTAGATAGATTATACCTTTCTAGTACTAATAAAGCCCATTTTGTGAATGCCATCCCTGCTTATGTGAGCATCTTTGGAGATATTCCAGGCTTTCTTCTCAATTAGCAGACATTGTCTACAAATGATAGCATATTTTCTTCACATCCCAGAAACGAGAATCAAACAAGACAAATGTAACATTCCATTATAACCATTTCACTATCTTTTAGGGTAGAGACAGAAATTACACATAAACCAGTAGAAGTCAACAGAAAAAGTTTTAAACCTGTAACAGAACAGAGGTTCAGTGCACATAAACCAATTTCCAAACAGCTGACACTGGTTTAAGATAAACCTGGTTGACTGTAGTAGCAAACTTAACTGATTTGGGTCAAACCAGTTCATGAAACTTTTGTCCCAGACCCCTTCCTGGTTCAAGTTAAATGTCAGTCTCTCAGCATGCCAGCATGCTTTCTAGCTCTGGGCTTGGCTGTGCTGTCTGCTCCATCAAAGAATGGTTATGGGGTGGGGGAGAGGAGGCAGGGACTGCCCCCTCCCCTCCAGGCAAACCCCAGCTGGGGTCTGGGGCCAGGGAGGGAGATTAAATGCCCCTTCCCCCATTCAGACTTACTGCTGGCAGTAACTGTGAACTACAAATCCCAGAGGCACCTGGAAGAAGGCGGAGAAAGTGATGAGCAACCCTGCAGAGTCCTAAAGTTGTGAGTCTGAACTGTAAATCCCAGAGACCTCAAGAGCAGCAGGAAGAGGAAGCGAACACACAACCCATGCTGGCTACATGCCAGAGAGCCATACTCTAGGACCCCTGAGCCTCTGGCCTGAGGCACTGCAGGCACATGGCTGCATTTCCAGATTCAGAAATGAATGTCTGACCATTTGTTTGTCAGTTTAATCTCTGCAGCTTAAACTAACCTGCAAAGACTGAATCAACTCAGGCTTTTTGACTGTCTGTACTTAGCCTTACTGTCTTACCTCAAGGTCTTCCATTGGCTCCCTCTAAATGTAACATTTAGGCCACAGGTGATATATTATATGTGGCATAAATGAGAAAGGTATTACAAATACACCCAATTTAAGGTGCCATAATAATGTTCCACATACAATGCAGAACAAGTTTATCGTTGATTTGTATCAAATTTAACATGCGGCTGAGTCTGACAGTCAGTTGGTTGTTAGTCCCAGGGCTGAGACTGTACTGGGGTATAAAACTGGCCACTGTGCAGTCCTGATCATCGGACCAACAATCAGTTGAATGTTGGTGTCAGCCTAAAGCTGGGGAGGTGGAGCCAAAGGCTTTCCCACTAGGCCTTTTAACCCTGCACCTGGCAGCTCTGGCTGGGGTGTTGAGTACAGGGGATCAGAGGCTCCCCGTGTGGGAGACAATGTGCCTTGTTGGCCTCCGTCCCTGGATAGCCCTGGGTCTTGGGGCTGATGATTATCTGATTGTCAGCCGTGCATGTGGGACTAAGGCACCTGGTGTTCAGTTTCCAGTGCAGGAGAAGCCTGAGATTATGATTAGGATGACTGGCATGATTGTAATGGCAAATTATGTGCTCTGCCTTGAACATGTGTCATGTTCATCAGAGTTCAGGTCCCATTGTGCCATTGAATGGATGTACAACAAAGGCCATTTTTACATATGTAATAAATTGATATTGTTCTGCACAATGTAGCATTTAGGAAGCCTGAATATTTTTCTTCTTGCTGTACTGACCACATTTGAATAGTTAAAAAGTTACAGAAAAAATGATAATGTAGCCTGGCAGTAGTTCAAATCTTGAGAACAATGTGAGGTTTGCCTAAGTAAAGGCTGTCTATAATAAAGTCCCTACAGAATCTTATATAAGGTATTGGTCATATTAGAAATACACTAAAATTATATTCTCATCACATATCTTAAATACACTCATCTCAGGTGAGTGTCATACCATTTTAATTAGTGGTGTGAATGTGTTCAGGCCTCACCTGGCTGCTACTCTTACTCATGTAGAAGGCTGTCTAGCAGGAGGATTCAGGTAACTAGGGGAAGTTGTCATGGCATCAGCTAGCTGCTAAACCAGAAGTATTGTAGTGTGTATAGACTAACTTCCTCTAGCCAATTCTCCTGTGGTTTAGCTCCCTAGAAATTGGGCATTAATTTCTCTTCTGACCTCAGTTCCACAACTATTAGAACGCACATGGAATACTTGACAAAATCACTTTATGAATGTCCTGGATCTCCTTCTACTGACTTTAAAGCATTTGGCTAGTCCAAACCAATAAAAGCCATTCTTGCTTGAATGGCTTTCTGTTATCTCACGTATGATATTTGGGACAGCTCTGCATTTATCTTTCAGTCTTACCGTAATGTCTTTAGGCATTAGAGACTGATTCCTTCATTGGAGTAAGAGGCAAGACGTTGTCTTTTTAGGGGCTGCTTTTGCTATTTCTTCTTAAATTGCTTTTCAGCTGTGCTACTTGTCACTGTATAATTGCATTCTCAATTTATTAAGTCACCATGCAGCTCTGAGAAG